TAAATGGTTTTGGTTTTTCAAATATTAATCAGACTTTCCACCATTGCAAAGTTTCCTAACGTTAATATATGATGCATACTCTAATTACCCAACTGTCTAACTAAAGATAATTGTGTCTATGTTCTACCTTAGAGTATGGCTATCACTTTTACGGAGAAAGTTGCAAAATTGTGCTGTATAAATGCTTTAATCCAGTCTTACGTCAGTTCTCAGCATGATCCCACTCTCAAAGCTCCAGAATTTATTCTCAAAATGATGAAAAAAGAACTAGCTTACAACAAAAGGTAATTGTTTTTTAGTTTGTGGCAGTCTTTTTTGTGGACAACCTGGTAAGTATTGGATTTGGCCTACTCACCAACGAATTGTTTCATTTCCGTATCCTCTAAAACCTCCTGCATTGCTCATTTCTTCCAAAGCTTAGATGACTTCGAGTGGGTCTATCTAAAACTCTGTGGTAATAATTCTCTGGAGACGGAGTACCGTTTGCAAGACAATGACATCAGTTCTCTTTGCGCGTCATTACTTAATGTACCCATCATAAACAGCCTTGATTTGCGTTTTAATCAAATTAAAGATGATGGAGCCATTGCATTGGCAAATTTTTTAAAGGTAAAGCTTTGTTTAGAAGAAAATCTGCCTATCATCTTTTTCAACGTTAAAGACTTGCACCCGAGAAAATAAATGATAATGTTTGAGGGTCGACAGCGTAATGAAGGATTTCCATTGTATTGAAGCTTCATTACGCTGAGCATTTGGATGAAAATAGGCTATTTTAGATAAACCTGGTTAATGACACACCAATTATTATTTTTAATATGTTTCGTTAGTACTCCATAAATTGCCAACGAAGTTTTTTCTCTTAAAGAAAGATCAGTGCCTAAAGGAACTTAATTTAACCGGAAACAATATCATGAAGCATGGAGCTCAAGAGATTGGCGAAAGTTTAAAGGTATCTTCCTAAAATTGTTGCCACTATGTATTAGCTCAAATTGGAATCTTATGAATAACTCTTATACTACTGTGTTATAGGTGAATCGCACATTGGAACGACTAAAATTGACAGGAAATCCAATCGGTCGTGAGGGTGGAATCGGTTTAGCTCATGGACTCCTGCTGAACAACACAATCACACAGCTAGATGTCGGTGAATGCGATTTGGTTAGCTTCATTTGCCCGACTTCTTGATCTCTTTAACAAGCGATGCCTGAGCTTTAGTTATGCTATTTTCGTTTTCCCTTTTTATTTTAAAGGAGATATCTAGTGCTATCGCCTTCGCAACAGTGCTTCGTACAAACAAAACCATTGATTACTTTAGCATGGATCGTCTCATCCTCTTTACCCGTCAGGAAGAACAGACGGTCCATATATATGAGATGCTGTGTGTAAGTTGAGCTATATACAAGAAGCTTCTTAAGAGTTGTTTATTTATATCATCTGAAATGAAATGACAGATACGATTGTTGCAGGACGTTCCCTTTTTTGATTTAAGAGGAGAGTAAGTGCTATATAAGTCATTTTAACTTTTAACTCAAAAAAGTAAAGATTGGATTTAAGGAATTCATCTACCTTAAGATTGT